TGATATATAATAAGTGTGGGTGCACAAATTATGAAAGAGGCGAATTACGCCTGAACAGACATATAGCGCAAATGTAAGTTTTTGTTTACGTTTTGTTTTGATCACAACGTGTACATTTGGCTCAGTCCTTCAGGGGTTAAAACAACATTTAATAAGTCAATAAAAAAGTCCAACTAGTGGACTAAAATAAACAAGACTAACCTCAAACAAAGATACAATAGTGCACATACAGAAAAAAAAAAAAAAGATACAAAAAAATACATCTCTTTCTGTATACACTATTGTATCTTTGCTTGAGGTTAGTCTTGTTTGTTTAGGCCACTAGTTAGACTTTTTATTTGATTTATTAAATGTTTTAATAGGACTGTATTATATTCTAGCCACATCTGTTTTCACTTCCACCCTCCTTCTCTTCCCCTTTTTAATGTTTACATGGAAAAATAAACCTGGCAGAATTAAATTAACGTCCTTGCAGCATCACAAATTGAATGGCGGCATTGGTGTGCCAGATATCCGCATATATTACTTTGCCACTAACAGTGCTACAGCAGTTGGCTTTAATATACACAACAAACCCAGATGGTTGAAGATGGAGGAAACTAAAGTTTTACCAGTCTCTCTAAAGATGCACTATGGCTTAACTCGGAAAAAAGGCTTAAAACTAAAACTATGTTTTTATCTACCAGAACCACACGTATGCCTTGGATATGGTTTTCAAGACTATCACTCTGAGTACAGGTTTATATAGAGCTATGCCGATCGTTTATCTACCATAGACAAACTTTTGGCATAGTCATTCGATAACACATTTGGAGGATTTTTTTTTACCCCGGGGAAATTCCATCCCTTAATTTAAAAAACTGCAATTTAAATACCTGATAACTCAAGAACAGACTACATAGTAATTTCGAAAAAACTGAAAGAAAAATTAAATTTTAGAGAAGTGGACAAAAACATAACATTCTGGAAAATTCTAAATTAGAAAAGTTATTTTTACATGACCCGGGATGAAAAGGGCTACTGTGTTACTTACTGCATAACACTGAACCCTCTTTTAAACTAGGACACATGTCTAGGGAGAGGGAGCAAGGTACGCAATACAGTTTGGAGGAATGGTTCAAATTTTTTCCAGCTATTAAAGGTATTACTTATTGCACAAATTCTCTTGAGAATCATTACAAGCTACTTTATCAATGGTACCTGGACCCCTCTCGTCTACACAATATGAATAACAAATACTCTGACCTGTGTTGGAGGGATTGCGGAGGTGTAGGTAATATGGCCTTATATCTGGTGGTTGTGCCCAAAATAATCTAGGTATTGGAAGGTAATACATAGACGAATAATGAAAGAAGACTTATCCATTAGCACCTTAACATCTGAACTAGCATTATTTAAGCAACTCACGGAATCTGCTACAAAAACTGATCAAATCAGTATAGGCCACATCCTAATTGCTGCTCCCTTGTTTACCAGGATACTGGAACATCAGTTAATATTCCAAAACTTAAAGAAGTTTTGAATCTGGTTTTAGAAAATAAAATGCGCGAACTGTCATAGACAAAATTCCAGTTTATTTGTGCAACTTCAACATAGTTGGATGTATGGAAAAACTGCATTAAAGAAACATTTCATTTAGAATTGTCATTTAGTACTATAATTATGTGATGAACAGTGAAATGTAAATGCAATATTATATTCATTGTTATTATGGATGGATACCCTCTCTTTTCCCAGGTTCCCCTTCCCTTTCCTGAATAGTTTGTTTTGCTATTAATTATTTTTGTTGTAGAACTCTAAAAACCTAATAAAAATTATTTGAAAAGGATAGACAAATATATTGGTACCTTTAATCTAATATTTCAAAGCACAGCATTTGGAGGCAATAGCTGCAGTCAAGTGCTTTATGTAACTTTGAATAAGATTTCTACACTTTTCGATGGATTCTGACCCACTCTTTCTGAGCAAGCTGCTCCAGTTTTTCCAAGTTTGATTGGTGTCTTTTTACAATTGCAAATTTCAGCTCTTCCCACAGATGTTTGATTTGGTTCAAATATGGACTCATGCGTATGGTAATTTGTTTGTGTGCTGGCTGTATAGTGGGTGTCTAGTGTGTGCTGTTTGGTTGTTGTGTTCTTGTATTCAGGCTGCATGTTGTGTGCCTGGTGAACGCTGGCAGTATGGTGTGTATATCTGGTGTGTTCTGGTTGCATGGTGTGTGCTGTATTGGGTTTCAGATGTGTTGGCTGTATGTTGTGTGATGATCCACTCTCTTCAGCCCTTAAGCCAAATGTTTTTGGCTTAAGGGCTGAAGAGTGCCCAATACATGGAGCACATGCCTCTTTACACAGACCTTGGTAATTCTGCCCCTCTCAGTTCAGGCACTCACATGCTGGGAGAACCAGGGGCTGCACTCTGACTTACTACAGCGTGCCGGATCCGTGACTTGTCCTCCCTCCTGCAGCCCTACCGACTGCCCACGGCAGGGTTAAACTCCTGCCTGTTGCACTGGAATTGCATTTTCAAGCAATACAAATTCTACATCTCTGGTATTCAAATAAGGCCTCTTCAGAACAGTCCAATGTTCCTTCTCATCCATTCTTTTAGATTCTTTTTAGTTTCAGGTAGTCATCCTGCCGAGGCACGCACTTTTAAGGAGACAGTATCCTGATACAGGACAGTAAGTTTCGCTACAGAATGTCTTGATAGTTTTCTGATTTAATTGTGCCCTATACAGCTTCTAGGAACCCAAAGGCAAAGCAATCCCGAAAATTAATTGAATCTCCTACATGGTTCATGGTAGAGATAGTGTTCTTTTCTTTGAAAGTTTATTTTGTCCTTCTCTAAATATGGATATATGATTATCCAAAAAAGTTTACTTTTGTCTTCTTAAAAGACATTCTCCAAGAAGGACTGTGGTTTGTGAATAGGCATTTTGGCAAATCCCAGTTGGAGTTCAGGGCAAATGGTACATTATAGTATTTGATTATGCTATACTCCGTCAAAAAATATATGATTAATTGATTGTTTTGTGTAATTTATAGATTCTTATGGAGCAGTTCGGTGTGGCTTCATCTGCCAGGATCTAATAATGAACTTAATCTGTCGGATGGCAATGCCAAGTAGGGAGTGTTCCAGTTAAATATTTCTACTTTCTGGGTGCCACCTAGGACAGTGACAGGCAGGTCAATTTGGGGTAGTATTTGTATATAAACAAAATGCAAAGACTCCAGAAGTGGCAGTAAAAAAACAGAGAAGAGGGTTGCACTCAATCACAAAACACACAGGGTGCTAACTGAGCATGGGTCACCATACCCCATATAATCTACATACAAGAAAAAAATCTCAGGCACTCACTGTGATACGTACAAAGCAGTTTTAATGGATCCGCAATGTTTCTACCTGTACCCAGGTCTTTAGCAAGCTTGATAAAGATCTGGGTACAGATCGAAACGTTGCGGATTCATTAAAACGGCTTTGAACGTATCAAAGTGAGTGCCGGAGATTTCTTGTATCCAGAAGTGGCAGTGACATTTTAATAAGACACTTTCTCTGGCAAAACTCTGCTAAAACACAAACCCTATCCCAGTACTTGACAGAATTATATTATAAAAGTAGTGTTACTAACAAAATAAATAAGTTTGACTATGTTACCACACCAGACATTTTACACAACATGAAGTGATCACTTTCAAATCTTAACTGATGCTGGCAGTCTGATCATCCCATGAATTTTATTTCTGCAACAACTAAGAGATAGCAGCTATGCGCCAGTATACCTGACTCATGCAACAGGTTGGTGGATGCCGGCTGCTGCGGATCCATGGCATTTTATAGCCCCATGTCCGCCCACAGCAATAACTACCCCAACGTGTGTGCAACGTCATGCAAAAGACGCACATGCACGTTCTGTGGTCAAAGGCCGGTTACAGCCAATCGGATCCATAGGAGGCTTATTTAAACACATTTTTACTTCTTCTCATTGCCCTGTCATGGTTTCCCTTAGTAGGTAATACTGACTTTGGCTTCGTTTTGACTTCCCTGTATTCTGGTATCCTTGACTTCTGGCTTTCCATTTAGCTTTGTGTCTCCTTCTGTATCCCTGACATCGGAAAGTATTCTGACTATTCTCTGGTACTTTAAGTCCGGCCATTCGAAGGCCCGGTAAGACGTTACATTTAGTCCTAGGTGTGATCTACTAGTAATGCTGACATTACGACATGGCCGTAGATCTTGCAGAATTGTGTAAGCACATAGCAGCTTGCGAGAGAAAGCTAGAGGAGAATGATCACCGTATGGATCAATTTGCCCTGGCTTTCAGTACGCTTCTTACTCGAACAGCGCATCTACAGCCCGAGAGTTCTCCGAATGTCACCTCCGCCTAATGTACCTCCACCTATAGTACATAAGGCACCTACTATCTCCCTATCTCCTCCCCCGCATTTTTATGGTAATATTTAAGAATGCCGGGGATTTCTGAATCAAATGGAGTACCACTTTGAGGCCTCACTGGGATCATTTCCCACGGATAGAACCAAGATTGGTTACCTAATGAACCAACTTAAAGGTAAAGCCTTAACTTCAGCCAATCCTTTATGGGAGATTAATATGAGTATTGCGTATAACTACCAGGAATTCCTTGCGGAATTCAAATTAACATTTGAACCATTGGGCAGGGAGGATGACGCTTTCATTGCCCTAATGTGTATCAATTTGCATCCCTGTATTCTGGTATCCTTGACTTCTGGCTTTCCCTCATTGTTGTGTCTCCTTCTGTATCCCTGACCTCAAGAAGTATTCTGACTATTCTCTGGTACGTTAAGTCCGGCCATTCTAAGGCTCGGTTTAAAACGTTACCTTTAGTTCTAGGTGTGATAATTCTGCATGCTGGATCTACTAGTAATCCTGACACCGGCCACTTAAAATAAACACTACAATCTGAATGGGGTTAGCAGAGTGTCCCGTACTTATCACTTTATAAGAGTGATTTCAAGACTTTT